GACAAAACAAATGACATGTGGACATGTTATCTGTAATCAAAAAGTAAGGTAGGCAGTATGGGCAGTTAGACCAAATCAAAAAAATAATCAAATATTTAGTATGATTTAGGATAGATATCTTTACAGTACGTTTTTGAAGACGGCCTAAAACAGCTTATGTTAGGCATTACACACTAAGGTAGGTGGTGTTACCAGAAACAGGAAATATCTTTTGCTTGGCCTCATTGTTGGATTTTTTGATGATTCAGATATTTAGATGGTAAAAATAGTATGCAATATCACATATGACAAAACATTTTAATGAACTATTATTTGGCAATTCATAGACATGTATACATGTTACCTGCTGTAATTCTGTACGTGTGACTAAGTCTGCTTTCATCAATCATATTTTACAGGTGTTTGTATCCCTCAATCACTAACAAAACATGAGACAAAGTTTTCTCGCTTGAAGTTTGAAAGCTATAATGTGCGTTTACAATAAAACCCAAGTGTTTTCATCTTGTAAACAGATTTAGTCAAAGGAAAAGAACTTAACATAAGTATTGAATTCATGACAATTACATGCAGAATCTCTGAGCTTTTGTAAGTCAATTTCAACTTGGAACACAATAATGAATTTTGTGAAATAAAACTCTGACAATGTAACTTTGACTGTAAAACATGAACTGACGATGCATTAACAAATATAAAATATAACCAAACATGTTCATCTGCATGACTCACTACTCCTATAATGAATGAAAAGCTTACACCTGGTGTGATAGGATGAAAAGTTGGAAATCGTGAATGTATAATAACTAAATCAAGTATGGATGACATACAGGATGACTGTCGGCGCTTATACATAAATACATAGTGAAAAACCCTCCTACATTCATACTGAAGCTGTGTATATCTCAACAAAAAAAACCCCTCTTACATTCATATTGAAGCTGTGTATATCTCCAAAAAAAAACTCTCCTACATTCATATTGAAGCTGTGTATATCTCAAAAAAAAAAACCCTCCTACATTCATATTGAAGCTGTGTATATCTCAACAAAAAAAACCCTCTTACATTCATATTGAAGCTGTGTATATCTCCAAAAAAGAAACCCTCTTACATTCATATTGAAGCTGTGTATATCTCCAAAAAAAAAACCCTCCTACATTCATATTGAAGCTGTGTATATCTCCAAAAAAAACCCTCTTACATTCATATTGAAGCTGTGTATATCTCCAAAAAAAAAACCCTCTTACATTCATATTGAAGTTGTGTATATCTCAAAAAAAAAAACCCTCTCACATTCATATTGAAGCTGTGTATATCTCAAAAAAAAAACCCTCTCACATTCATATTGAAGCTGTGCAAATCAATCTGAAATCCAGACATCACCATACCATATCTACTGCAGACCATCTGATCATATATCCAGTACTTATTTGATACCTTCACCAAACAAAACATATTTTCTCATTCATTATATATTGTGCATACCATAACTTTTATAATCCAATTTTCATACAAGTTCTGTTTCAGCTAATATCTCTGTTCTTTATAAACCATGTAAAATTATTTGTGGAAATAATTATTTTTTTCTGACTTAACTACCCCAAATTTTTTCAACAAGTTACGTATAATTTTTGTCTGTCACTATCAGTAAGTGATCTATGTATATCCTGCGATAAGCCTAAGGAATCAATTCTCTACCTCCTTAAAGCACACAACTTTTAATTAACATTCTATATAAAACTGCTGTAACTGGGAGGCTTAGTTACCAGCTAGGAGTTTTAATTTGACCGTAATAGAACATATATTGTATTTCATTCTTTATAATTAATAAAATAATGATTCAAACGATTTTCAAAAGCATCAATTCATAAATATTTATAATTTGGTATAAATAATGATTAACCATTGTTACAATTCAATGATGAGTTCATTTTCAACAGATTGCACAGAGTTTTCCTAGGTTAAAGCAGAAATATTGTCGTTCAGTAAGGGAGGAAGGTGGTGGCAGTGATGGGATGTCGGATCAGGAATCATCTATCATTAGCAAATATATTATTTACCCTGTAAACCACAAAATTCAGGTAAAGGATAAAGATTTAGTGTGGTTCTTGTTAATGTTCATCTCTTCATCCTAATAAGATTGAAAATGAACACTCAATGGCACATGATCCATCATGGCTTGTATACCATATAAGTAAATGTTTAGGTTTATTTATCACTACAGTAAACAATGAGCTACACCAGATATAGTGTGTACACTATGTACCTGAATAACATCCATTATCCATTGCTTCCAGTTAAGTCAGACAAGTGACAGATTATTAACATTTACGAATGATGTCAGACACAAGATAAGACTACTTTCTCACAAAATTACATGAATCGTAAGGTCATCTGTCAGGTGATCATTACTGATACACCTCACAAAAATATCTAGGATTTTTTATTTGACATTAGCGAATGGAACAACAGTAAACCTGAGACTGATAAAAACCTATTCCCATATCACCTTCTAGTGATCACTCCTGGACTTACAGACTTTGAAACCTGACAGAAGATTGACTTCAATTCTACAATATTGAATACTCTCCTTTGATCAAGGATATTAACAAGAATTATGTTTTCCTTTTCATTTAACTGAAACTTAAAAGATTGTGCAGATATAAAAGATTTCTTTTTTAATTTGATAATCGCTAGCTTTAAATGCAACTAGTTTGTGCAAAGTTGAAGTGCAATTTGAACTTTTAGCACTTTTTTTAGTTAAGGATTAACATCAATTGATCAGAATTCACATAACAGTAGACAATCGACATCATGAAGTATCATGAAGCAAAGAGTCATCCTCTGTGATCTAACCTTTCACAACAACCAGTCTGTGTACAACAGGTATCAATCTTGCTGCAGGTTTACAATTAATAAAAAAAAGCAGTGTAATATACCATTTACCAGTAGGCTATATGAAGCAGTACCTGTTTGTCTGTGATACTTCTCATTGTATATACTTTACATGTACATTGCTCTATGAATTGTTGACTTGTAACTTTTTATTGTCTTATTAAACTTGTACATACATAGGTCAACACTCAACAGCAGGGCCATATTGTAAACTAGATTTTATCTAAATATGTCACCCTGTCTAAATAAAAGATATTATTATTATTATTATTACAATTCCTTGACTGCTGTAAGAGTGGAGCAATCTTAACTTTTAGTACAGTGTACATGTAAACCATTATACTTGACAACATATAAAAGATACCAGATACTTTTCTCATCACATTACTGTAATCACACATAAAACTTATGATGTTAAGCATTAAGAAACCTTATTCATAGTCAAGACAAGAGAAACAGACTTTTCAGCATAAGTCTTCAAAATGTTGCAAATAAGGATGATGATTTCGCATGCAATGAGCAAAACTTAAACATAAACAAGTCTACAGGATAAAGAAATTGTGGAATATAAATGTTGTAACAAAGAAACAATTTAGTGATGTTGGAATAGTTTGCCTCATTGCAATGTTCATACAAAATGTAGTTTGGTGTTTCTTATGAAAAATTCATACCAACATAATGACAAAAGCCACTTCATCATAACATTTTGATGAAGGGAATTACATGATTAAACCATGTTTGGTTTTTTCCAAATGACTGTAGAAAAAGTATCTCTCTATATGTATACATATAGATGAATTTTTATCAATAGTTGAAAACACTATTCAAATTAAAACGGTGCGCAACTTCCACATTTGTAATTGGCCACAAACAAGTAAATCATGTAAAGATGTTATCGTCCCAGATTAGTATATCAGACTAAAGAGATGTCTTACTGAAATTTATCACATACAAGTTTTATTTTCGTATCAAATCATATTTCAATATCTTGTCGTCTTATACTTACAGAAAATGTAACATGTACACCTAACCACCCATATGTTATATATGTTAGAAATATACCACGACTCCAGTCGTCAACAGTTATATTTCTATTTGGTCATCAGTAGTCATATCATCTGCTCAATTATTTAAGAGAAAATACAAAAGCTTGGTCTTTTTTTGGCATATTTGTGTAGAAAGTGTCTAACAAAAGAAATTTCCATCCTCATGGGAAGACATACCAACACAATATACATTATCATAAATGATTTGACAACCAAGTACTTTACATTCCACCTTCAGGTTCTCTGCATTGTTATGGTAACAGTTTATCATTTATTTCAATTCTTCCACTAGGATTCAAACCAATTACTTCAGCCGAGTGATATATTACAGGTAGTATTTTACTATAGTGTTTCTTTATGATCTGGTACCACTCGTCTAGTTCAGTTGATACATATGCAAGGTAAAATGTTAAGAGAAACCTGAATGCAAGTCACAAATGTTCACTGGGTAGAATTGCAGCATGAAAAAACACCCTAGGTAGAGGAATTGACATTGTAAAATTTCAAGTGTGTATCACAACAGACTGATCAGCTTGCAAATTGCAAATATGTAATCACTTGGGTGATCTGGCCATACCAGACTTCTCATCTGCCAAAATGAGCTGGTCTTACTTGCATTGCAATTATTGTCATTCAGACATAAACAAGTTAATACTCTCTTGAACAAAAGCATTGCATCAGAGAAAACATTTTCAGTACTCTTTATTCACAATCTTTCAATATCACTCGAAATATTTAACCATGTCTTTGAATCAGACAATGTACTGTATACACATTCCTCCAACAAAAGACATACTGCACATTACATGTGTAGTGCACAGTAGCAGTGATATTGTCACACCCGTCGCTACTAATTATGTAATCTCGGCTTCATATAAATAGGTTGAGCGATTAGTATATGACACAATCTTAATTGAAATACGTCAATCAAGTGAAAACTGACGTTGAACTTTTAAATATACAAATTCTGGGCCTGGTTTTGTTACTAACTAAGTTAAGCTAACCGAGAGTGCCAAAATAAGGCGTTTGGTATTTATAATTTGTGAGTGTGACTCATGTGTTTACCTTGTGAGAGTCGTATTCATCCATCGGTATGATCTCAATAACACCATTGTCTGTTCCTCCGGAGCTGTCAACAGACTCTGACTCCATGATGACAAGATGTTTGGAACAGACTAATTAAAAAAGTCCGTTTTGATGTCGATGAGAAATTATGTTTATGAGATTCGGAGACGAGATGACAAACATCACTCCTTCCCTGTATGTACTGTTCCGAAACAGCACATGTCAGCAATGCTGCATTATTAAGACGACATGTTGTTATAATACAATTTTATCGTCTGTGTTTACCAATTATGTCTTTCTTTTAAAGCAATAAAACCTTTGTCAGTCATTTTCCTGACTCGGCTGCATGTTTCTCATCTGACATATTCCGTTTAGTTGCGCATGCGTTTAGACGTGCACGATGACTTCCGTAATCAATAATCTGTCTCACACTGACGTTTTACTGACAAAATCAGCATCTAAGAAATGCTTTCTCTGGAGTTGTGATACTATTTCAAAAGTCAGTTTAAACATATTTTATTGCCGAAAGCAAATGGATTGGGCACAAGTTATCACAACTTATAAGAGCCCTCTCCACAATAATATATACAATGAATGTGATAACAGCTATGTACAGTTACAAATCATTTTTAAATGTAGAATGTAGTAGGGAAAAAGTAAGGAAAGAAAAGATAGGAGAGGAAGAGAAGAAATTGAATTAACAATCGGACGTAGTCAACGCTCATGTCTGGCGCTATAACTGCACAACACATCATTCCTTCTTACACAGTTCATTAAAACACCATTCCTATAGGCCATCTCGTTCTCTTCAAGGCTTTCAATTAAGCTTAACTAAAGTGCCAGGCAAGCATTCCTCGTAATTAATTAATAACATTCAATATTAAAAATAAATATAGTTACAAGTAGTTATTAGAGATACAGAAGGGAGAAGAGGGCAAGATCGCCAATTCACAGAGTGAAGTGAGAATCTGTTGCTGGCCCGCATGTATGTTTGTACGATGTGAAAAATGTCTTCGTTTTCAGTAACGGCGAGTTCAGATTTTCCAGACAAAAGAGTTTCGAGATTAATTGGGTAATACGGACGCAAATTTACAAACATGTTTGCTCTCAAAATAGTATAATTAGGACATTCAAAAAAGTAATGATATGCATCTTCACAAAAATGACCACAAGAACATGATGATGATTCTACTAAGTTTATACGGTACAAATCGTTATTTAACGCACAGCAGTTATATCTTAATTTAGTATGAATTATATTTAAACGACGTGGTCCGTAATTAAAAAAATAGTAGATTTGTTTTGTCTTGAACTGATAGCTTTTCTAAATTTAGACACAGTTGGTAGATTTCTTGTTTCATCGGAAAGATTATTCCAGAGTTTAATAGTGTTAGACAAGAAAGACAGTCAGGGATTGGTTAGTCTATAATTCGGTAATACATAATCATTGTTATTTCTTAATTCATACCTGTTTAAATTACTGTTAACTGTTTGTAAAAGATCGTGTAAATAAGAAGGTGTTAGATTATTATGGATCTTGTAAAACAAAATCAAATTTCTTCTATTTCGTCTGTTTTCTAATGATTCCCACCCCGTTTCGAAATATAATGCTTGCCTAGTAACGTAACTTGGTAGACCGGTCACAATTCTCGCTGCTTCTAACTGTAATTTTTCTAGTAAATCAGAATGAAATTTAGAACAACCACTCCAAACTTCACAAGAGTATTCAAGAACTGGCAGTATAAATGAGGTATAAATTTTAGATAGAGTTTTTCTATTTACTAAAAATTTTAATTGCCTTAAGGCATTGATCTTTTTTAATACTGACTGATATATAAAGTCAACATTATTCCCCCACTGCATTTGCACTCAATAAAACTCCTAAGTGCCTGTGGCTTTCTGACATATTTAATCTTGTTTCACCGAATTGTAAATGAATGGCATTGTTTCGTAACGTGTTTGAGATAAAAATGACATTAGTTTTAATAGGATTAAATGTTACCAACCGTTTTTTGGACCAATCTTTTATACGCTGCATATCAAAATTTAAAATTCGTTCTATTTCTAGTATAGAGGAAGAGCCATAAGTCAATGAAGTATCGTCGGCAAACAAACGTGATACGCTTAATAATTCATCAGTTATATCATTGATGTAAATTAGGAACAAAAGACGCCCTAAAATTGAACCTTGGGGAACTCCAGCTTTAATTGTTTGGTAATTAGAAAAATGTTCACCTACAAAGGCTTTGTTGTCTTGATTTTAAATAATGTATTAACCAGTTCAGAATGTTTCCTGATATACCATAAGATTTAAGTTTTGATACTAGACCCTTGTGCCAAACTCTGTCAAATGCTTTTGAAATATCACAAAAAACGATGCATATGTGTTTCTTTTCCTCAAGATTGAGACAAATGTTGTGGTAGATTTCAATGAGCTGGTGAACGGTAGAGTGAGTAGGCATAAAACCAGATTGCCTTGAATAAAATAACGAATTTGTTAAAAAATAATTATAAATATGCTTAAAAACCACTCTTTCAAAAACCTTACCAACCGTGGATAACAATGCTATCGGTCTATAATTAGATGGCGAATGTTTTTCTTCTTTTTTATAAAGAGGCATAACTTTTGCCTTTTTCCACAAATTAGGATAAACACACTGTGTGAGAGACATATTGTATAATAGTGTTATAGGTCTACACACAGTGTGAGCTGTATAACGTAACATATGATGACTGATCCCGTCTACATCAGATGCTTTACCTAATTTCAATATTTTGAGAACATCGATTACTTCATCTGTATCAATAATTAAGTTGCTAAAATTTGAAATTGTTTTAGGGGCTAGGTTTGGTACCTGAACTTCAGAGTCGTCTAACTGACTAATTGAAATGAAATAATTATTTAGTAGTTCCGCTTTATCTGTATCGTTATGTTTTATATTACCAGTCATGATGTGGATCTATAAGAGGAGGTATCTCATTGGTTGCATTCTTTGATTAAATTAAATTTCTGAGTAATTTCCAATATGATTTGGTGTCGGATTTAATAAAACTGTCAATGACGTCATCTAAATTTCCATAAAAGTTTTCACGGGCGTGTTTTTTCATGTTATTTACTCGATTTCTCGCTCTTTTAAAATTCAATATGTCATTCTCACGTTTGGTTAACCTAGCTTTTTTATGTAGTCTATTGCGGATTCTGATGTTTTTACGCAACTCCGAATTCATCCACGATTTGTCGTTGGGTTGTATAGTGACAAGTTTAGATGGAATACTATCTTTTGCAAAGGATATAAATTGATCAGTAAAATTTAAACAAGCTTCCTCAATATCCCTAGATTCAAGAATCATATCTTCCCAGGAAAAGTTTTCTATTAATCTATTTAGTTTAGTAAAGTCAGTATGTTTATAACACCAAACCTGACGCTTATAAGACTTTGTTTATTTGAAATTTACCTCAATAGATGCTAAACATGCTTCATGATCACTAATGTCTCTAGTAATAGGCAATACTGATGATTCTATACATTAATTGATTCAGATAGTATGATTGGATCTAGAAGAGTAGCTCGTGTGTTTCCTATTCTAGTAGGTTGGGTAATAATGTTTTTTAAATCAAAATTATTAAGAATTTCAGAGAGTCTATGATACTGTGTCATTGTAATTAAATCAACGTTAACATCTCCAACAATGATTATGTTCGATGTAATATCTATTTTTTTTCAATAGAGGCATGCATATGATCCCAAAAGGAATTTGCCGCATTAGGTGGTCTATAGATAGTACACAGGAAAATACAACTCGACGGCAATTCCAATTGAAGCCATATTAATTCACCATCCACGAATTCAATATCGCATCTTCTAGTTGCTTTAATTTGGTTAGAAACATAAACCATAACACTATTTCAGAAGTACGGGAGTAGATAATTCCTTTGGTCTTTCCTTGTAATTTCGAAAGCCTATATTGTTTAACCAGACCTATAGGTTATTTAGGATAGATGTATTTGACCTTACGAGAATTTTTATGTAGGGTTAACGAAACAGATAGAAATACTGTAAGCTAATTCAGGTTCTGATTTTTTTTATGTATTATTATATTTCAATTATTTGTATCACTCGAGCAATGGTTGTGGGAAATATTACACAAATCATTCTTAAAGAATATGTTCTAACGTGATGTCATAAAGTGTGTTACGTCATTTAATATTATGACGTCATATTCATGAGATCATATTCAGTAATAATCATTTAAGGTATGACCAAAGCCTTTCTGATAAGTATAGATATCTTGTATGTGGATTTTTAAGACACCTCTCGCGAAATCACATAAATACGGAAGCATTCGTGAGAGCAACATTTTTTCTGTTCCGCAACTTTTGTCATGATCATTCACAAAGCATGGCGGCATGTATGACGCCGTAGAATTATTACTTCACAGTCATGAATTCAAACGATAGGAACCGTTTCATCCAATCACAACACTAGCACCAATAGGAGTTATTTCAAACGTGTGGTCAGAGCAAAATTTATGTAAGGGGTGATATCTTATCGATATCACACTGACAACAGAATAACTTAAAATGTGATGTAGACAGTACACAACAAAACCTTTTACATAATTGAGAGATGATGTTTTGTTTATACATAAAATGATCGACATTTAAAAATCTGGAGTTCCGTCAATAGTATAGTATTTAGTGCAAAATGGTCATTACATCACAAATCGTGCACGAAAAGGGTACTTCGAAAGTTCGAGTTTTTATTGACCTCGAAATCTTTGTTGAAAATATATAAAGTATTTGTTTTACCTTAATTGGAATTTGCTTGTGAAGTTTGGGATGGCTGTTCTCTGGCAGATGTAAAATTTCAAACTTGAGGAAGCTCAGCTGGAAGCAATTAGAATCATAACTGGTCTGCCATCATTTTCTAGTAAACAATCGCTATATCTACAATCCCAACTTGAGCCTCTATCTGACAGAATAAAACTTAAGAAACTTTCTCTCATGTATTAAATCCACAATAAGCTAACACCTTATCTAGCTAACATGCTTCCTCCTACAGTACACGAACGAAATATATTTCAAGTAAGAAATACTGAAAATTACACCATTCCCAACTTCCGACTGTCTAGTTCATTTCAATCTTTTTCCTCTCTTATATAAGCCTTTGGAATGATTTACCAAACAGTGTCAGAGAACCGCCATTCGTAAACAGTTGTAAGTTTCTTATTCATCGCAGCCAAAATGACATGTTAAAAAGTTTTTTTTTCATGTTTGAAATCGTTCTCTAAGTATTTTACACACGCGATGGCGTCATTCATGTTGTAGTTTAAAGTATGATTTGTATAGAGTAAATGGTGTGAGCGATCCAACATGTGTCAATGGGTGTGTAAAAGTAATGCATTACTTGTGTGATTGTATACTGTATACACAACAAAGACAAGTTATGATAGATGGTATCTCACCTTACTGCAATGTTTCTACTGTTGTTATTCTTTCTGGTTCCTCAAACCTGTCTGAAAAGGCAATGAAAATATTTTTCTTTTAGTTCAAACAGAGGCGTATGTTATATATGTCTCTGGTTCAAACATACATTAAAAATAGTAAAAGATGTTAAGATTGAGATTAGTAGCATGTTTATTTTATATTTCCTACTCCATTCTCCCCCCCCCCCAGCCCCCCCCCCAACCCACCCCAAACCCCCACCCCCACCCCATCTTTCTTTATTCGGTTATCTATATATATATGTTTAAAAATTGTTATTGTTGTCATGAAACTTGTATATTGAAATCTTTCGGAGAAGGCGTTTTTAATTTGTTGTGATAACTTGTGCCAAATCCTTTTTGTTATACAACAAATAAACTATGTTTAAATCAAAATAAAAAAACACCATGACAATTCATAATAATAACTGACCGTCTCTGTATTCAGAGTTAGTGTTATCTTGAATCAAGTGACGTCACTTGACTGTGTATAGATCTACGATCACAAGGATTATAGGTGGCTCAAAATATAGAGATATAGGATCTACCAGGAAACATACAGATATGGTGAGTGTGTAAATCAAAACACGCGCAGGCCGACACACGTGCAATATACGTAGTAAACTATCTTTGTCTATTTAGAGTTTTTAGATTTATAAAAGTGGTGTTAGACACTCTTTAGATTTGAAGGTGTCACCTTTGGAAAACCCGTAGACAGTTCGGAATAACGGAAGCATGCATTCCCATTTGTTTCCTTAAAGCATCAATTTCATGTTGGAAGAACCGTCCATCGGATTTGTCTGTCGATAAACCTTAGCATGTAAATATGTTATCGTCACTATTCATTACGTTGGAAAATTAACTTTTGTTTTCGATTTTGAGAACCAATGACTCGACAGTTACGCCCCTTTATTTGTTGACATATCGAGAGTTCTCTTGATAAAAAAACACCACGCGTATCATTTCTTTATCTATTGAAAACCTAAGTTGAAGGACTGTGTTGATAAGCCGTCCAGAATATATATTTTTGACAATTTGCATTTAAAGGCCAGCACGACTAAGGCCTCTCCGTCAAGTCCATAATACAAAGGCTTGGTGGCCATATGATGCATTCTATAACATGTAATATATTTTTAGTTTACGGATTTTCAAACAGATTATTAGTAGGCATGCTGTGTACAGTTCCTTAACTTTTTCAACATATGATACAATAAGCGGGGATTAATTATGATGACTAAATTTTTCACAAGCTATTTGCAGTTTGTATTTGTCATAGCTCGCTTACAGAACGTTCGCTTTACTGATAGAATAACAACTTATTTTTAGTGAGTACCCTTCTGGATCTGGGTGTAAACCATCACTGAATCTGAATAAACTGCAACATTTGTCAACAAAGTGGCTACTTAAGTACCATTCATTGTTTTGTCAACCAATCTATTCAAAGTTTACAGCAGTGACTCGAACTATCAGTATCCTTATCTATCAAATCGTGAATAAGGCACACAGCATCACATGATTGATACGTGTATAAGGCACACGGCATCACATGATTGATACGTGTATAAGGCACACGGCATCACATGACTGATACGTGTATAAGGCACACGGCATCACATGACTGATACGTGTATAAGGCACACGGCATCACATGACTGATACGTGTATAAGGCATACGGCATCACATGACTGATACGTGTATAAGGCACACGGCATCACATGACTGATACGTGTATAAGGCACACGGCATCACATGATTGATACGTGTATAAGGCACACGGCATCACATGACTGATACGTGTATAAGGCACACGGCATCACATGATACTTGTATAAGGCACACGTCATCACATGATTGATACGTGTATAAGGCACACGTCATCACATGATTGATACGTGTATAAGGGACACGGCATCACATGATTGATACGTGTATAAGGCACACGGCATCACATGATTGATACGTGTATAAGGCACACGGCATCACATGATTGATACGTGTATAAGGCACACGGCATCACATGACTGATACGTGTAACTTTTGTTTATCCTGATGAGTTGATGTTCCAGCTTCATATATTTAATCGGCGTTAATCATGCTTGAAATACGCGTGTGGAATCAAACAAAGACCAAAGAGATAAACATTATTGAGAATGTACAAAGAGGGGCACAAAATTCTTACTTGGGTTGCATAGCCTACATACCAGCAGCGTCTTTACAGAAATTCAGCTTTACCATGAAGATCTTTTAAAGTCGTGAAAAATATATACATCAAAACATTTTCGATTTCGAAGGGTAGGACAAGAGGACCATAAGGTGGATGAAAACTCTTTGTTATTAATTGATAAGTTGACGAGTTACCCCAGTACGTGACTACGTGGCAACGTTTCTACTGTAAATGCACTAATGAACTATTGATTACTATTTTTCATATTTTAATTCTGATTTCAATTTTATCTTATATGGACATTGAGGCTGTAAGTATATACATTGTCAATCATAATAAATACCAAAAAATCCATAGTTGAATAGAAAAAGGGAAGTAACTCTGGGAGATCTAGATGAACAATATTATTTCCAAAAAGTAATTAATTTACAAAGTCACTAATTGACTAATCGTAGATAATTACAATAACCACGAATTTTCGGGCGGATGTGAAATTGCGCTGATTTCCGTAATATTCTTTCTATTTTCAGTGGATGATAAGGAAGTTATTTCGTATGAATGAGGGATCCCAAGACCAGGATTGTACTTCACAAGGCGCAAGTTTCAGGGAAAAGAGTTTGTTGAAGCAGAAAGATATTATTTTGAGAATCATTCAGATCTGACAAATAATTATAACATTTATGTGATACATTATTATATTACATATAAGAAAGCTTTCCCTTCCATTTCGAGATTTTACATATAGAGTATTCATTTTAATTCTATATCTCATATCTCATCATCAAGATTTATATTTTTTTGTCTTTCTTCTGATAATTGTCTCCCTTGAATGTGAAAACGCTAGCCATGAGTGTTCTTTTGAATTGATTATTACATTCCAGATGACATCATATTTACATATCGAAGAGTTTCAAGTAGATCCAGTGCTACAGTAATGTTAGAGGTAGGTACACTACAATCTTAATCTATTTTTAGATGAAATGATGTTTAATATTTCTATTACTTATTGTAACGCGGTAAATATTGAATGGAAGTGGGCGTGTCAGCGTTGTGATAGATTAGTCTGGTTCAGTCTGATATCCTAACGTATACTGTTCACATGGATAATTCAGCTATTACGTCACTCGACTTGTGATTAAACAGAGTTTGGTCCATCGTTCATTAAAAAAATGTTTCAAACTTGGACAATATCCTTGAACGGAAGGATTTTTAAGAACTCACATTTTGCCTTTTGGCATTACACATCTGATGTCAGACTTCTGGTTGATACAAAATTGGGTTCCTTTCAACCAGATATGCTTCAGACAAAATCGGGACAGATTGAAGGCTAAGATGGAGGATTGGTAAAGATGTTTTTTATCTATTTCCCCTATTGGGTCCCGCCCCAGGGAGCCTGGCATGTTTACAGAAGCAAAAGGATTTCAAAGACTTTCGTCCATTTCTCCCTCTTAGATCTCGCCCCTCCCGCTCCAGAGGGACGAGATCCATCGTTTGTTTATTCTCCATCATCCATGGATGCTTCACAGGAAATCGGGAAAGAATCCTTGAATTCCCAAAAATAATGATAAACTTTATTCGTTTTACAACTATTCCGAAGCAAGTTTTTTAATCGCTCTTGTTAACCCGAATGGACGCGCGAGAGGGGTCTTACTGGGTGGAAACCGGAGTACACGGTTTTTCACATCCATTCCGGGAATCGAACCCTGGACGGCTTGGCGAAAGCATTACCACTGCGCCACCCGGCCACACATAAAATTGAATTCCTAAAGAAGGAAAAGGATGTTAAAGAATTTGCTCAAAATCGCAATTGATCTAGGTGAGCTATCCCAAGTCGACAGAACGTCTGAACGCTGATAACTGAAGAGGGTTGGACGACAATGCCTGGGACAATTTTTCTCTACATCTATTAAAAACACACAAAAGAATACTTATCTTAAATAGTAAAATATATGCCCTCTAATCACAGACATAACCTAAACAAAAAATACATGCCATTCCCACAGGCGGCAGCTTTAAATGTCTTATGGCCTCCATTTTGTTTATTCTATACACGGTCTGAAAAGTTTTCAGAGATATGACTAAATCAAAAACTACGTTTTCGTGTCACAGGAACGACCAAACACAGTTCACGAGGTTAAGATGGCTGTCGCCAAATCCCTTGGGGAATGCACCGACAACATAGACGTCATCGACAAAGCAACGATATTGGAAACCGAACTCTCTGATTCAGTAACCGATGATATCGTGGAAGTAATGATCCACAGGGAGTCCCGACGTGTTCCGAAGGAGAAGAGAACGCGCAAGGAAGATATGTTCGAAGGTGACATGGCGGACGGGGACCGTATCGAAATGTCTTGTGGCCATGCAGCAAGTATGTTAACAAAAAACTCGCCATGGATCGGATTGTTGTACAAGTACACTCTTCCACGTACACAATGAACTACTTTATTTTTAAAAAATAGCAGCGAAAAAAATATTGATAAAAAGTGGAATATGCATTTATCTGAACGCACTGCGACAGAATTAAATATCAAAATGTCTCTGGTTGTTATCAACTATTGTTATCGTATAACATGTACCACAAGATCTGATCATACCAAAGGAATTTTCTCAAATATTACGGGTTGCTGAAAGTTTCAACACGGACTTAGATAAATAAACATCCAATCTCCAGAGTATAGGAAGGTAAAATTGAGCGAGCACTTGGCCATTGGTAAATAAAACATAGATATTCAGAAAATCTCATTTAAAGAAAAAGAAATTCTATTTATCCAAATTTTCAGTCCAAAACTAAACAGAATTGTTTAATAGAATAATCATCTTCCATTAAATTATGACGTCACATATTCGTCTTTGATATGACGTCATACAATAATGCCTATGCAAATTATGCAGTTAAGCCGTGATTAAAAATTGAAAGTGCCAAGTCTTAAATCTACTTGTTCTTCAAGTTCATTCTAATCTCCCTCCACACACGTATTTTAACAGCAATGTATTGGAATGATCTTGAGATGGTCCTGACCAAGTGTTGTTATTTTTCGGGTATAATTGAAATCAAAGATGGTCGCCATTGCCGCCATCTTGAAAAAAAAAACTTCTTCTCCACTTCCACTGGTGCCATTGAGCTAAAAATCTGTGTGATTAATAAGGAAAGGTAGCCTTCCAAGTGTTGTTATTTTTCGATCTTGTCAAAACTTCGATACGGAAGCCAGGGAGGCCTTTCTGTAACATGACTGCGCAATCATGATTTACTGTGCAACACTTACTTCAAACTTCTTCTCAAGTTTCACTCGTCAAAAATAGGTAGCACTTGTTACAGTTAACTATTCCTCACCAAACTACCATTAGTATCATTGAAAACAGCTTCTTAATAAAATTTCATTCAAAGTTGAAAAGAAATTAGCTTTTCTACCTGTTGAAACTTTTTTTGTTTTTGCTTTTTTTTTGGTTTTTTGTTTTGTTTTGTTGTGTTTTGTTTTGTTTTTTAGTCAGATGACCGTTAAGGCCCATGGACCTCTTGTTACGAACAGAAACATGTTATTTTCTAATCACTGTACTCTCTAAATTCGATTTCAGCCCCGGAGAACATCTACAGATACTGCTTGACCAAACTCAACAGTAACGATCTTGGGTTTAAATGTATGGAATGCAGTACCATATGGGACTTTGCAGAAATCGCTTGTAAAGCTGATATGTCCGAAGATGAATCTGTGTTTTTCACCAGGAAAATGTCCGACGTCTTCATCGCCGAATCTAATGATATTCGTGAATGTCCACAGTGTAGAAGCTTTTGTACGAGAATCGATACCAATAACAAGTATGTGGCGTGTCAGGTATGTAAGGAAAATGGCAGGACATCGTACAGCTTTTGTTGGGAGTGTTATAGACCTGGGGTGCATCCTCATAATTGTCAACACAAGCATACCCAGGACGTGTTAGATAACTGTCAACGGGTAACAATGCAATATAGCGATATACGGGGTGTACCCCAAGTTCGAGCCTGTCCGAAATGTGAACTATTTATAGAACACGAGAGTGGATGTAAGACCATGACGTGTACAAAATGTCATCATGTTTTCTGCTTCAGCTGTCTGAAGTCTGCAGTTAACGGACACCTTATTTGTGGACAGTATGATTCCATCTGCACAGTAGCACCTGTTCAGAAAATTGGCGCAAAAAGAAACAAATAAGAATGACTATGGTGTGGTGAACATGACAGTATCCACAAAGGTTAGATGTATATTTCAAGATTCGTGAAATTTACATTTTTCATGAAGGCCTCCTATTAACTCGCTGCTAATCTGGATTTTATCTCAGGAGTATAGATGCGGTCTGGACAACAGAGGATAATAAGCTAACGTCATTTTGGCGCCATGCTGATCAACGTCACATCAACGCTTCGCACGTCGCCTCAGATAACGCGCGTTATAACTGAAAAGAATAGTAAAGAACCAGAAATAAATTTGACTGAGATAAGTCTAGCTAATCTACAGTCAGAAAATCTTAAACGAAAATTGCAGTTCTGCAGAATTCCATATTTAAACATTTGGAATAAACCATGTAAAATTATATATTATGTACATGTAGTAGTAAAATAGTGCAAAGAGCACATTACAACGTTCAGCCAAGATCAAGATAAACACAAAAACAACACAAAAATAAAACAAAAACAACACAAAAACAACACAAAAATAAAACAAAAACAACACAAAAATAACACAAAAATAACACAAAATCAACACAAAAATAAAACAAAAACAACACAAAAACAACACAAAAATAAAACAAAAACAACACAAAATCAACACAAAATCAACACAAAAATAACACAAAAATAACACAAAAACAACACAAAAATAAAACAAAAACAACACAAAAACAACACAAAAACAAAACAAAAATAACACAAAAACAACACAAAAATAAAACAAAAATAACACAAAAACAACACAAAAATAAAACAAAAACAACACAAAAACAACACAAAAATAAAACAAAAACAACACAAAAATAACAAAAAAATAACACAAAATCAACACAAAAATAAAACAAAAACAACACAAAAACAACACAAAAATAAAACAAAAACAACACAAAATCACCACAAAATCAACACAAAAATAACACAAAAATAACACAAAAACAACACAAAAATAAAACAAAAACAACACAAAAACAACACAAAAATAAAACAAAAAAAAACAAAAAAACAACAAAAAAATAAAAAAAAAATAACACAAAAAAAAAAAAAAAATAAAACAAAAACAACACAAAAATAAACAAAAACAAAAATAAAACAAAAACAACACAAAAACAACACAAAAATAAAACAAAAATAACACAAAAACAACACAAAAATAACACAAAAATAACACAAAATCAACACAAAAATAAAACAAAAACAACACAAAAACAACACAAAAATAAAACAAAAACAACACAAAATCAACACAAAAATAACACAAAAATAACACAAAAACAACACAAAAATAAAACAAAAACAACACAAAAACAACACAAAAATAAAACAAAAATAACACAAAAACAACACAAAAATAAAACAAAAACAACACAAAAACAACACAACAAAAACAACAAAAAACAACACAAAAATAAAACAAAAATAAAACAAAAACAACAAAAAAATAAAAAAAAAACAACAAAAAAACAACACAAAAATAAAAAAAAAACAACACAAAATCAACACAAAAACAACACAAAAATAAAACAAAAATAACACAAAAACAACACAAAAATAAAACAAAAACAACACAAAAACAACACAAAAACAACACAAAAACAACACAAAAACAGCACAAAAACAACACAAAAATAAAACAAAAACAGCACAAAAACAACACAAAAATAAAACAAAAACAACACAAAATCAACACAAAAATAACACAAAAATAACACAAAAACAACACAAAAATAAAACAAAAACAACACAAAAACAACACAAAAATAAAACAAAAATAACACAAAAACAACACAAAAATAAAACAAAAACAAACAAAAACAACACAAAAATAACACAAAAACAACACAAAAACAACACAAAAATAAAACAAAAATAACATAAAAAACAACACAAAAATAAAACAAAAACAACACAAAAACAACACAAAAATAACACAAAAACAACACAAAATCAACACAAAAATAACACAAAAACAACACAAAAATAAAACAAAAACAACACAAAAACAACACAAAAATAAAACAAAAATAACACAAAAACAACACAAAAATAAAACAAAAACAACACAAAAACAACACAAAAATAAAACAAAAACAACACAAAAACAACACAAAAATAACACAAAAATAACACAAAATCAACACAAAAATAAAACAAAAACAACACAAAAACAACACAAAAATAAAACAAAAATAACACAAAAACAACACAAAAATAAAACAAAAACAACACAAAAACAACACAAAAATAAAACAAAAACAACACAAAATCAACACAAAAACAACACAAAAATAAAACAAAAATAACACAAAAACAACACAAAAATAAAACAAAAACAACACAAAAACAACACAAAAATAACACAAAAATAACACAAAAACAACACAAAAATAACACAAAAATAACACAAAATCAACACAAAAATAACACAAAAATAACACAAAATCAACACAAAAATAAAACAAAAACAACACAAAAACAACACAAAAATAAAACAAAAACAACACAAAATCAACACAAAATCAACACAAAAATAACACAAAAATAACACAAAAACAACACAAAAACAACACAAAAATAACACAAAAACAACACAAAAATAAAACAAAAACAACACAAAAACAACACAAAAATAAAACAAAAACAACACAAAAATAACACAAAAACAACACAAAATAAAACAAAAACAACACAAAAATAAAACAAAAACAACACAAAATCAACACAAAAACTACATAAAAAAACACAAAAATAAAACAAAAACAACACAAAAACAACACAAAAACAACACAAAAATAACACAAAAACAACACAAAAACAACACAAAAACAAAACAAAAATAACACAAAAACAACACAAAAACAACACAAAAATAAAACAAAAATAACACAAAAACAACACAAAAACAACACAAAAATAACACAAAAACAACACAAAATAAAACAAAAACAACACAAAAATAAAACAAAAACAACACAAAATCAACACAAAAACTACATAAAAAAAACACAAAAATAAAACAAAAACAACACAAAAACAACACAAAAATAACACAAAAACAACACAAAAATAACACAAAAACAACACAAAATAAAACAAAAACAACACAAAAATAAAACAAAAACAACACAAAAACACAAAAACACACAAAAAAACACAAAAAAAACACAAAAAACAACAAAAAAACAACACAAAAACAACACAAAAATAACACAAAAACAACAACACAAAAACAACACAAAAACAACACAAAAACAACACAAAAACAACACAAAAATAACACAAAAACAACACAAAAACAACACAAAAATAACACAAAAACAACACAAAAACAACACAAAAATAACACAAAAACAACACAAAACAACACAAAAATAACACAAAAACAACACAAAAACAACACAAAAACAACACAAAAATAAAACAAAAATAACACAAAAACAACACAAAAATAAAACAAAACAACACAAAAACAACACAAAAATAAAACAAAAATAACAAAAAACAACACAAAAATAAAAAAAAAATAACAAAAAAACAAAAACAACACAAAAACAACACAAAAATAACACAAAAACAACACAAAAACACAAAAACAACACAAAACAACACAAAAATAAAACAAAAACAACACAAAATCAACACAAAAACTACATAAAAATAACACAAAAATAAAACAAAAATAACACAAAAATAAAACAAAAATAACACAAAAACAACACAAAAACTACATAAAAAACACAAAAATAAAACAAAAATAACACAAAAACAACACAAAAACTACATAAAAAACACAAAAATAAAACAAAAATAACACAAAAACAACACAAAAACAACACAAAAACAACACAAAAATAAAACAAAAATAACACAAAAACAACACAAAAATAACACAAAAATAAAACAAAAATAACACAAAAATAACACAAAAACAACACAAAAACAACACAAAAATAACACAAAAATAACACAAAAACAACACAAAAATAAAACAAAAACAACACAAAAACAACACAAAAATAAAACAAAAATAACACAAAAACAACAAAAATAACACAAAAACAACACAAAAATAAAACAAAAACATTTATAAACTTTCAAGGTGTTATTTGATTTCACAGGTCATATATTCATATTTTTCATCGCTCTAGTAGGATTCACAGATGAAACTTTTATCATAATTTTTTCAATATATTTTTTAGAATTTCCAATCGAAAATAGTTGAGGTTCTTTTTTCAAATTAATTAAAAGTCTCTAAGATAAATCCTAAAGCTGTGATGATTATAAGTGAACCGTCAATAAGTATTACACAACTAACTAAATTAGATATTTCACAACTTCTGTGTGAACAGAAACGATATGATGGCGGAATGGCGATGAAGGGCAGCACATTCTATGTCCTGACCGTGAACAGCTAGGACTCTCTTTTTAGCATTCCGATCTCCCAGAGATACTTCCATTCTTTTTTGGTGGTTATTTCACTCTAGATAACATACAGAAAGTCTGTCTCGTGCTATTTTGTTTATTTATTTATTTTAACGGGTTTTACGTCCACTATTACGACCTTTCGGTCTTTCAGCGGACGAAAACAGGGGAAAGAGTAGGAGGGAAAAAGTAGAATTGATGGGAAAGAGTGTGATATGGAGATGAGGTAGAGAGGGGCCGTCTATGCTACTTGTCCTAATTTAAAAACTATAATTTAGAAGGCGACCCCCGTTCCTAATGGTATACCTAGCTTACCATTTAGCACGACGTAGCAAGAAGACCGTTGTCAGGATTGAGAGGGAGATGAAGGGGTTTCTATACTATGTAAAGTCCGATATGTTTATTGAATTTTGAGGTCCAGTCGAAATTACTTAATAAATATTCCCAATGTTAATTTAACTCTAAGCCAAAGAGGGGTCTTTATCGTGCAAGTTGGACACTCTCACATGGGCCACCACTTTAAGTCCCATCCGACGGACTGTGGGCTAATTGTTAGTTGTTAGTATGGTGTTGGTGGTGATTTTCGTTTTAGCCCATGTGAGTGTAATTATTCTTTTCCTTCCTATCATTCCTTTCACGCTCTAACCGCTTTTCCAATGTCTATACTTTCTGTAACCCATGCTGTTCCTTTCGTCTTGTAACTTTCCGATGTTTGTATGGCTATATTTTGTGACTGTGCGGTTAGTATCGGGAGAGATGGGGTGTTAGCAGGAGTAGTCTAAGTGGTTAATGAAGTAGGTTTGTTACGATATAGTTTTGTTGGCCGATCAAGTGGGGGGCGGGGGGGGGTCCGTCTCGTGCCATTGTCAAGGATATATATAGCCATGAAGTACAGCACAGACCACGTGACTATCTTCGTAACTATCGCGGTCCTTATAACGCTTAATGGTATTCATTTGTCAATGTTTCACAAATAATCTACATCAGTCCTAGAATGTGGATTTCGTTAGATACACGTGTATGTCTACCAGAACTTTAGAAACAGTGTCAAAGTTAAAAAAAAGTATTTCAAGATAAAACAAACCTGTGACTAAACTATCTGTAGGTAACAGAAAATTTGTTGTGATCTTCACAAGAAAAACCTATAACAACCGTCTCAATAGTGCAAAGATACAGATAAAAACCAAGGATTACCTTTAAATCAAAACTAGGAAAGAACTATTGAAACAACCTCATCTCATTCCTACAAAGGATCACATTTTATCCATTTTAGTTCTGATAAATCTCAAAACTGAAAAGACATCATCAAGCACCAAGAAGCCATGGGTATGAAATGCGAGAAATTGGAACGGAAAGAATTTTTAAAGAACGGGCGGACGGACGGACAGAAATTACTGTCAATGTTTGCATTAATCACATGCAAATAGATTTGTAATTTGCAAGTTTTTGTCGATTTTATTTCCTAGACAAGGAACGAAGGACAAGGGGAACTCTCTCATGTGGATGTTTTAAAACCTACAATTAAATCCACATTATGTACTTCAGAAAGACGTCTGTATATAATTCTTCAACAAGAAGTGAATAACGCCACATACTTAGTAGTCAGTCAATAAACAGAAAGAAAATAAAACTTGCGAAAAGTAAGTTAATTTTTTAATTTGCTGGGTTCAAAAATCCGTAAAAAGAAGTTGATAAATATGACCATAGGGCTTTACTTGGCATGTGTTTTGTGGTTCTTTTTTTGCTAAAAGATAAAGTCATGAATTATGTGTCATTTATTTAGAGAAAGCATGACATCAGACTCCTACACAAGGCGTCAGACATTCTGACATACCTAGGGTCATCAAAATGTCTAACATCTGGTTAAGGGCTAGATGAAACTCGGACCAAGTAGAACAAATAACCTTGTATACGGCGTTAAAATTGGAATGAACTGAACGAAGAACGATAACTCGGAGAACGCAACACATCTCTATCTGGCCTCAGGTCAAATACCACAGACATAACAGTTATAGATATGGATAAACACCCTTTCTATCGGGTTTTTGAATATTTAATACGATTAGTTTGGACCTTCCTCAGTCGCCTTCTAGTTTAGGCACTTAGCATCATGGACGTAACAACTGTATTATAGTTTAATTCATTTCTACTGTGCCTCATTCTAAACATGAATTGAAATGAGCTATTCATTTGTGTGTTTTAAAATCTTCGCCTCAAGCAACTTATGTCATTTGGTGTCAAAAACTGAAATCATCAATAAGAGATTCTAAAATTAAAATTAAAAAGTGTGAAATAAGCACCAGATACAGGATTTTACCAAGATGTATTACATCTTTCCCTTGTTGGACAGCGACTTCCCTACATGTCGTCGATGTAGCAGTAGGCGCTTTTTTTTCTGGAACATCTGGTCTTATTCTTCTAGTACTTTTTTCAAGAATCTCAGTGAAAATCTTTCTTTTGTTCATATACCTTCGAATACTTCAGCTTTGCTTCGGTTTACGCCCAATAGGCATACAAAAACCAAGTGTACGACCATAATTGGTATGTCTTGTGTGATGGATCTGTTAGTGTTAACACGGAAAATATCGGTAGTATATTAAAGGGAAAATTATACAGAAGTGTCTTAGATGTTTGTTTTACTTTCCTTTTGTATGTGGCGTTTGTTGTGATTACATACTGATCAATTTATATCAAACAAAATTTAAACTGAAGTACTCATTTACAAAAAGGAAGAACAAATTATGTGAAGATAAATAACACACCATTTTCATTCCTGATAAGAGATACGAATTCCAACGATAACACCATATTTCTGTGTGGCCAGTGATCGCCGTCAGACAAGAGAAGACAAATAAACAATATGAAGCTTCCGGCCACAATTGTACACCTGTAAAGGAATGTTTGATAACTAGTTGGACTCATATATCTTATTTTCACACATAGGTGAGATGTGCAACCAGTTATAGTGTCTGTGTTGCTACTGATCGATACAAATATCTTATCCGAAATTAAACGAAGCACATCTATGTTCATAAAAGTCACTTTTCTTCTTGACTTAATTAATACAACGATAGAGTCCCTAGCACGGGACATATTATACACACTTTGTGTATATAAACGTCTGCTACACCACCAAGAACGATCCACCCATGACCCACCCACTTGTACATTACTATCTCTCGGCCTTCCAGAGCTATGATCAAGAAAATAACAACAAGCATTTGCTCTAAATGTACGTGTGCTGAATGTTACGTATTTAAATTAATTTACTCGAGCCAACAAACCGCGAGGCGGCGAATACAAATGCTACAAAGCATGATTCACACCATATATTTGTTTTGTTCAGCCTTTTGGACAACACCCACCAATAAATAGGTCAGGCGTATTGTTATTTGCGTCACGCATGACTGCATCCTCACGTACACATCGCATACTTGCCGTGCCCAGCCCTTCTCATTCAGCCCGCGAACGTCCACATTGCTGCACGAGACTACAGAGAACGGTGAGTAAAGTTGATCAGATTCAGAATTGTAGACACATACACCCTTCTAGTAGCTTAGTACTTTGATCACAGTTAACAGACCTGTCGAACAGCTTTTTTTTTGCTTTTCCACTGAAAATCGATAGTTTTCCAGTCTCACCTTCGCCGCGTTCAGGTGGAACAACAACGGGTAGAGATTTAAACTGCTCCCGATTTGCCCCCGAGTGCTTGACCAACAGCAGGTAGGTTCCGACGGTAAGTGGTATAATCTGTTTTTGAAAACATCACTGGTACGAGAAAAGAGGCACCAAATTACCACTGACTACTGGTAGCACGGATTTAGAATAGATGTCCGTGCTGGTAGCTGTTCAGAACGGTCTACTCATCCAAGGGCGTTACCTTGTGGAACAGTAATTTGTCGGCGAGTCTTAGAATTCTACTTGTAAAGGCGGACGGCATTCTTGAATGCCTAGTCATTTATTGTAATTAACCGACACTTTTATATTTAAACACTGATCAGATTTTTTTTTGTTGATTTTATTGAATTAACATCGTGAACTAGAACAGAGTTGACTAGTACAAACTTTTGCTGTTTATTATAAGTGTGTGTGTAGCTCCATGATTTGAGATGTTAACTGGGTGTTTTTATGTCTCTGTTCCCCTAGGCCACTATTGAAGTAGAAAGTCTAACTTGCATTTTAATGATGATGATGAAGGTTTTTCGGCTCCTTGACTCTGCTTTTCACCAGGCAAAGTCCAATCGACATGTGTCGATTCTTTGGCGACATCTTGCATTCTAGAAAATGATATTGTTATATTGTCTATAGATGTTTACTGACAGGAATTCTCTGTTAACAGATTGATAATAAAATATATCATACTTGTACACTTGTGAGCTATACACCTAACTACTGCACGGTTTTAACATATAGACTAGGAGAAGTTGTAAACAAAGTCTTGTGAAATCATTGACATTTAGTGGTTACATGTGAGAAAAGGGTCAATATCTAGGTTACGAACACTTCTACAAAACATATTGACTGAAACTAACTATTGACAGAGATGGCCCAATTTCTGTACCAGGACCGAGTAGGTTTAGTCACAGGTTCTTGCAATCAAGATGTGTTAATGCTTCAAGAAGATTTTCCAGGGAGCATATAGTTGCCACTTTGTCTGTCCGTCTCTCCTCTCATGTCTGTCCGTCTCTCCTCTCATGTCTCATGTCTGTAGCATAACTTCGCTCACAGTTAAGCAAGTATCATGAAACTTGGTGTAAACATTAGTCGTACTGGATGGTTAGACAAGTATATACATATTGGGTAAGTTGGATGATTGGACAAGTAGACATGGGACAAGTTGGATGATTGGACAAGTAGACATGGGACAAGTTGGGTGATTGGACAAGTAGACATGGGACAAGTTGGGTGATTGGACAAGTAGACATGGGACAAGTTGGGTGATTGGACAAGTAGACATGGGACTTGTTGGATGATTGGACAAGTAGACATGTGACAAGTTGGGTGATTGGACAAGTAGACATGGGACTTGTTGGATGATTGGACAAGTAGACATGGGACTTGTTGGATGATTGGACAAGTAGACATGGGACTTGTTGGATGATTGGACAAGTAGACATGTGACAAGTTGGGTGATTGGACAAGTAGACATGGGACAAGTTGGATGATTGGACAAGTAGACATGGGACAAGTTGGGTGATTGGACAAGTAGACATGGGACAAGTTGGATGATTGGACAAGTAGACATGGGACAAGTTGGGTGATTGGACAAGTAGACATGTGACAAGTTGGGTGATTGGACAAGTAGACATGTGACAAGTTGGGTGATTGGACAAGTAGACATGGGACAAGTTGGATGATTGGACAAGTAGACATGTGACAAGTTGGATGATTGGACAAGTAGACATGTGACAAGTTGGGTGATTGGACAAGTAGACATGGGACTTGTTGGATGATTGGACAAGTAGACATGGGACTTGTTGGATGATTGGACAAGTAGACATGTGACAAGTTGGGTGATTGGACAAGTAGACATGGGACAAGTTGGATGATTGGACAAGTAGACATGTGACAAGTTGGGTGATTGGACAAGTAGACATGTGACTTGTTGGATGATTGGACAAGTAGACATGTGACAAGTTGGATGATTGGACATGTAGACATGTGACAAGTTGGGTGATTGGACAAGTAGACATGGGACAAGTTGGATGATTGGACAAGTAGACATGGGACAAGTTGGATGATTGGACAAGTAGACATGGGACAAGTTGGATGATTGGACAAGTAGACATGTGACAAGTTGGATGATTGGACAAGTAGACATGTGACAAGTTGATTGGACAAGTAGACATGGGACAAGTTGGATGATTGGACAAGTAGACATGGGACTTGTTGGATGATTGGACAAGTAGACATGTGACAAGTTGGATGATTGGACAAGTAGACATGGGACAAGTAGACATGGGACTTGTTGGATGATTGGACAAGTAGACATGGGACTTGTTGGATGATTGGACAAGTAGACATGGGACTTGTTGGATGATTGGACAAGTAGACATGTGACAAGTTGGATGATTGGACAAGTAGACATGGGACTTGTTGGATGATTGGACAAGTAGACATGGGACTTGTTGGATGACTGGACAAATTGATAGGGGACTTCATATTCATGTACAAATGCTGTAGCTAGGGAAAACAGAATGTCAATGAAATTAATATCTTTTCTGTAATGTTACCATGAAATTGTATCCTTTATCTGTACAATTTATTGCAGTGTGTATTATTCTGTAATTTTGTAACATCAAGGAATTGATATATCTGTAACATCATCCCCAATGTTTTGTGAACTATGTAGAGGCCTTCAGTCACATTTTGATGCAGTTTGATTAGATATGTTATTTGTATGATGATAATCTGATAACAATTTTCCGCACTAGTTGACTGAAAAATGATGGTGGCACAGGAAACCCTGTATTGTGTTCTGTATAATCCATTATCTAATTAGGTATACATGTGTGTAGATAGGATTTCAAGTTGGCATGCTTTCACCATTTTGTCATTGATCCAGTTATCTGTAACTCTCTGTTCTCCAACTTACTACATACCGAAGTATTGCTAGTTTGGTTCAGTTTTAAACCACTGTAATTGTAAAGGGTTTGATAGGGAGACAGTGTTACCATATCCAATGAAATGTTGCCCTTGATAGGGAGACAGTGTTACCATATCCAATGAAATGTTGCCTTTGATAGGGAGACAGTGTTACCATATCCAATGAAATGTTGCCTTTGATAGGGAGACAGTGTTACCTATATTCAATGAAATGTTGCCTTTAATAGGGAGACAGTGTTACCTATATTCAATGAAATGTTGCCCTTGATAGGGAGACAGTGTTACCCATATTCAATGAAATGTTGCCTTTAATAGGAAGCAGTGTTACCTATATTCAATGAAATGTTGCCCTTGATAGGGAGACAGTGTTACCCATATTCAATGAAATGTTGCCTTTGATAGGGAGACAGTGTTACCATATCCAATGAAATGTTGCCCTTGATAGGGAGACAGTGTTACCCATATTCAATGAAATGTTGCCTTTAATAGGGAGACAGTGTTACCTATATTCAATGAAATGTTGCCCTTGATAGGGAGACAGTGTTACCCATATTCAATGAAATGTTGCCTTTAATAGGGAGACAGTGTTACCTATATTCAATGAAATGTTGCCCTTGATAGGGAGACAGTGTTACCCATATTCAATGAAATGTTGCCTTTGATAGGGAGACAGTGTTATCCATATTCAATGAAATGTTGCCTTTGATAGGGAGACAGTGTTACCCATATTCAATGAAATGTTGCCTTTGATAGGGAGACAGTGTTACCCATATTCAATGAAATGTTGCCTTTGATAGGGAGACAGTGTTACCCATATTCAATGAAATGTTGCCTTTGATAGGGAGACAGTGTTACCATATCCAATGAAATGTTGCCTTTGATAGGGAGACAGTGTTACATATCCAATGAAATGTTGCCTATGCCTTTATAAATTGGGTAAATATGACAGGATATCTGCCAAATCCTTGGGGAAATATTCATGAATTTTGCTTCCTTTGGTGATATAACAGTAAACGCACAGGTGGAAACCACCTTTTTTCGGGAATACGACAGGACAAATATCACTGCAAGCAGTACTTTTACATAAAGATGTATAGACCTCGCCCACGATAACTGCTCTAGATAGGAACTGACCAATGAAGTGATGATTGATATACAAAACCAGAAGTGTTTGTGCCTCCAGGCAGCTCAGAACACAAGGCCACTGTATATATACAAGGTACTACAGACAGCATACCTGTATATCATCATATACCTGTAATGTAATGTGTAATTAATGTGTCAGGACCATGATAATGAAGGAGTAGAATTGATCACCGCTATCACATCAATATATATATTATTATTTCCAGAAACATTATGTGTATGTTATTAGGATGAGCTTGAATTCTGATATCCTAGCTGTGACTCTCCATTTCTTTATCTGCAGAAAATTTTTCCTGATTAAGTCAATGTATCATTTCCGATGTGTTACACTTTAATTTTATCACATAATCTGCCAGTGGCCATGTATTATACTAGCTTATACATATGTGTCACTTATGTTATATGCCCTGGAGGATTTTTGATAGGTTATCGATTGTGATGTCATAACATGGACTATTTCTTCACATCATCAACTGAAAATGCACAACAAAATCGCTGCCTCTGTGATTTTTTTACCACCATAAACTGTGGATTTTCTGAGTTCTATGATAATAAGGTGTGGAATTGTGTTATCATTTCATTTGAGATTTTATAAAACTTTCCTCAAAGTTTAAATTTCAGCTTGTCAATGCTTGAAAAATAGACACTTTTATGACTGATTGCGTGTGTGTATATATAGTAATCAGTAACAATGTTAAATCAGATCTATATATATATGTCTTTAGTATTGATAGAAAAAAAATCATTGGA